TATAGCATTTTTCCATTCATACAGAGATAAAAAGTTGCACAACAGAGAATAACAGTTGTCTTGTTGGAGGTTTACAGAAACATCATGCCGTGACCCACATGGACAGCTGCAAGGACAACAGATTCCAACACCAACAAGTCTGCAACTACCAACCACACCCCCTCCCCTTTTTACTATAAAAGGAGCCTGAATTCTGACTTGGGGAAGATGGTTCTCCAGGACATTAGCCTGCCATCTTGACCAAGGTCTGCTGACTTTCCAAATAAAGTCGTTATTCCTTGCCCCCATGCCTCATCTCCTGATTTATTGGCCTGTCGTGCGGTGAGCAGAAAGAATTTGGACTCAGTAACATAGGGGCTTTGAGTTGCAGATACTACATCTACAAGATGGCAAAGCTGCTGCCCTCAGCCTGGGCCCCTGCATGACTGTGGGATACACCATCACCACCAACTCTTGCTGGACGTGTTCAGTGAGTAAGAAACAAATCTTCATATGTTAAGACATTGGAAGACGAGATTATTTGTTCCTGCAGCACATCTGTGATATCCTGAAAAATGTAATGTTTCAAGTCCCAAAATTTTAAAATTTTCACCTAACCAGCTTCACAGAACTCCAAGTGCTTTATTTCTGCAACTTCCTCCCACACTGAGAGATGAGAAGGGCAGTTCGTCGGGAACAGCTCCATCATGGCACCCTGGCAACCATGCATATCTCCACAGAGGCCACAGGGGCAAAGTTTATCCGCTGTCTGATCCGGGGCTCGGCAGGATGCCCTGCAACTCCTCCTGAATTGAAAGGAGATCCATGCCCTGTGGGAAGCCACCATGCGACAGTTCCTCATCCACCTCCCAATCTGGTGGGAGCTTCCTACAAGGCCATTTCCCATCTATCTTCCTCATTCCAGTTGTGCACAGAATTTCCACCTCATGCCCCTAGTCTGCAGGGCACAGCTGCAGGCTTCTGTGTCTATAAAACCACTTGGCTGTAATTTGGGGATGGCTCGTCTAGGGCAGAATGACCCATCGCTAGTGCCACCTGTCTTCTGGCCCCTCCCTCCAGTTCAGTGTCATCCTGTGTGGGACCAGGGAGGCAGGGAGCTGACGCCTTGCTGATCTTGCTTTCATTGTCTAAGGAACACACGTCTGAATCCACCTGAGCTCGTTGTGTCCTCAGTGGCCAAGTCTATGAAAGTGTTGGTGACCCAATGTAGGAAGTGCTCCTGTAGCCATGACCCTGCTGCTTGGGGACTTCCTGACCACGTGTCACAATTAAAGGTGGCTTTTATGATAACTATTTGTTGCTCAGTGTCAGGCAGTTGTGTGCTGGGACATCTCTCTCCTGCCTGAAAGAATGAAAAGGGGCTCCAAGCATAACTATAAAACAGCTTTCCAGTTTGAAGTTTGAAATGAGCCAGGTTGATTCCCCAGCACTTTAGCCTCTTCAACATTTTAATAAAGTTAGCATCAGGTTGACAAAAGTTAGAAAGCTCCAACAACCCAGGCCCAGCTTCAGATGCTTGGTGGCAACATGGGGTGACAGAGTCTGAAGTGTGCTGAGTGGTGGCCGTGGACTTTGGTGAAACACACAAAAGAAAGTCAACACACTACCTTAGAGCAAGGGGACAATTTGTGATATTTTGTATGTTTGCCATTTCTGATGAACCAGAAACACGTATCACGTGGATGAATAATTTCAAATTAAATTATCAAAAGTGACGCTAACAGTATGTTTCCTGAATATTAATAAACATGAATGGGCCACACATTGGTTTACTAATTACTAAGCATCAGGAACTGTGTGAGAAAGAGGGTTTACAAAGATAAGCAGGATTCAACCTTAGATGTAAACCAAAAGGTCTACAAGACAATGTTTCTGACTTGGCAGTGAGATGCAGAAATACACCCTGGCTTGAGTCCTTGGATGTGAGGAGAGGTATAGTAACTGTGACGGGTAAGCCTGCTGTCTTTATTAAAATGGCACAGCCACGCACAGCACTCTCTGTTGGCAATTACACAGCACGGCCATGCCCAGTGATACCAGAGAAGGGTCGCATAGTTTTGCTTGTCTCAAGTTTACAAATATCTTATTGGGAGTAAAAACCAACATGAAATATTTTGATGGTTGTAAGGGAGAGACCTTCTCAAGAAGAGAAAGGGGAAAAATACCTCACATTATTTCTGCGAGGCAGACATTCTTTTCCTAGAGGACTTGGA